GAAAAGACAGACTGACTGGTTGGTAAAGCCTGCATGAACTATTTTTCCTCCTTAAACTATTATGCAGGGGGCCCTCCCATACTCCTCAACAGTGAGTCTATGATTGTTTTCCTACCAACCTGCTTGTGCTTTTCCACAGCAGACCGAGGCTTTTTTTTTGAGGTTCCCAGTAGGAGATGGTGCTCGATGGCCTTCATGTTGACTTTGAAGATTCAAGGAGGTGCCTGGAAAGTATATCATTTTTTTAGATAGCCCCAGCTGCTTATTCAGTGTTCATTTTTTTATACAAGGGCACAAATAATATGGCCAAGTCATATAACCAGCAGTGACATTCAGAAAGTCTACTCTACAACTTCTAGAGTGGGAGGAACCTATATTCAGAAATGATGAACCATCCTATTGTATAGGGTCAATAACATGGCCACACCAGGTAACAGATAGCATCTGTAGATGACGATGCAGGACTGGCTATAGATAGGACAGCTGTCTTCTTGAGAATAAAATCCAGTGAGATACCTGCCCGCCCCTGATGGTACTGTGACCCACAACTATACTCACCCAACCTGTCCAAGTGGGACTTATATGGTTTTTCTACTACCTTTTGGCCAACTGGCTAAGAGATGTTCCAAGGAGGTAAAATTGAAATCTTCTGATTAAAAGTTACTTTTTTTTACTTTTGATGTGTACCTGGATGGCCAAGGTGCAGTATTGGGCAGAAGACTGGAGACAGAATCAAGCTAAACAAAAATGGCAGCCACTTGAATTTATAACTAGCTTTTAAAGTAAGATTCACAAGAAAAAACTTTGCTATGCAAAGGCTTTTATGTGCACCATACTTTATAAGCATGTTACAGTATATGTATGTTCGGGTGATTGACATTTTTATTTAGCTTGGTGAAATTGAAGCAGGGACATGTTGGACGCCTTCAGCTGTCATTGTGCTTTGCTGGACTTCTGGTGTGTCCTTGCACATTTAGGAAGGAATGAGACACCTCAAGGTATACCTGCCCCTAATGTACAGTACACAATGCTATACAAGCTCCAACATGGAGACTCTCACAAAATAAAACAGCCTTTTACAATCTTTATAACCCAAAGGAACCTTACTAAAACCAGTTAATCAGGAGGGAAAGGTCCCTTACGTTGGTGGTCAGTAGGAATGATGATAAAAAAGAAAATTGGAAAGAAAAGTAGGAATAATGCTAAAAAAGAAAACTGGTGTCACCCTGCTGACTCTGCCAAGTGTTATTGATCCTGGAAAAATGCAGGAACTATCAAAAGGAAGGTCAACCAGCCATGATTCAAGGAACCCTTAGCGACTCCTGGAAAGACCCTCTGGTTCCATGGAACCCTGGTTGAGAATGGCTGGACTAGAATTAGCACTGTATTATACAGGAGGGCACAGATTTGAATAGATAGAGACTACTAATATTTAAGACTAAAAAAGACTTGGAAAGATAAAGTTTCCTAGTTGTTCCAAGTCACAATGTTATGACTCTCTCCATACCTGATTCGTCTACACTTCCTGTAGTTACCTGTCCTCCATCCAGCTTCTGTGTGTCAGTAGGACATTGAGAGACAAACTGTGGGTTACACCAGAAACAATGTGTTAAAGGCAAATTGTAGAAAATCAATTTTTACATGAATTAATTCATAAATTCATAGCACTTTTCTACCGGTTATTGGATGAAGATAGTGAGACAGCCATCTTGGGTGCACTCAGTAGAACACTATACTAGGATACTTTTTAGACAGGAGCCAATTAGACTACCAGTATGTCCTTGGAGAGTTACAGGAAACCCATGCAGACTCAGAGAAAACATGCAAGTTCCTTAAGGATGGTGTCTTGACCAGGACTTAAACCAAGGACCTTACTGCTGGGGGGCAGAATCACTTGCTACTGAGCTGCCCATACGCTATATCATTAAAGGTTTGTGGACACCTATATGAGTTTGTTGGACATACCATTCCACAACCATGGGCATTAACATGGAGTTGCTCCCCTACCCTTTGAAGCTAATAGCCTCAAGTACTCTGGGAAAGTGTTCCACAAAATTTTGCAGCATCACTGAGGGTATTGATGCCCATTCAGCCAAAAAAAGCATTTGTGAGGTTCTGATGTTGGATGAGTAGACCTGGCTTGCCATCAGCATTTCAGTTCAACTAAAATATATTCAGTAAAGTTAATGTCAGGGCTCTGTGCAATTCATAAAAGTTCCTATACACCAAACCATGTCTTTATGTAGCTGACTTTGTGCATGGGGCAGAGTCATGCTGGAAATAAAAAGGCCTTCAACAAACTGTTGCCACACAGTTGAAAGCCCACAATTGTCTAAAGTCGGCCATACATGGATTACAATTCAGCTGGTTTAACAGGGACAAGAAAAAATTCCGATCCATGTATGGCCAGGCTAATTGTACCCAGGTTAATCGATCAATTGACTTGGGTACAACCAGCATGTCGGATTTTCTACATACAGTTACTGGCAGTGGCTATAGCTGCTAGCAGTAACCATTGTATTCTGACAGCCAGGAATGCTCCCTGCACCCCCTGCTGGCAGAATACAGGAAGGGGGCAATGCAGAGGTCTGTGGAGGGAAGGAAGGGGGTCCTGTGTAATGATGGGGGTAGTAAGGGGAAGGGGGTCCTGTGTAATGATGGGGGTAGTATGGGGGAGGGGATCCTGTGTAATGCTATAGAAGGAGGTCCTGTGTAATAATGGGGGTGCTATGGGGGAGGGAGGTCCTCTTTAATGAAGGGGGTTGGTATGGGGTAGGAGGTCCTGTGGTCCTGTGTTATTATGGGTGTAGTATGGGTGGGTCCTGTGTAATGATGGGGGTAGTATGGGGGAGGGGTCCTGTGTGATGATGGAGGAGGGGGGTCCTGTGTAATGATGGGGGTAGTATGGGGAAGGGGGTTCTTTATAATTATGGGTGTAGTATGGGGGGAAGGGGTCCTGTGTAATGAAGGGAGTTGTATGGGGGAGAGGTTCTGTGTAATGATGCGGGTAGTGTAGATGAGGGTGTCAGGGCTCCCAGGTGTGACCAGAGGTGTGTGGCTGACGCAGGGAAACACAGACCTCAGATATGTTATAAACAATATAATTTATTAACACTAACAATACAAACATAAACGCAGTGCAATACTAAAACATAATACAGTGCAACCAAACCAAACCAACCACCCACAGATAACAGTACATACAAGCAAGCGTCGTCAGGCAGGCCGGGTCAATATCAATAGGGCAGGTAGGTACAGGGGGAGCAAGCGGAGATTGGTCGGGGTCACAGGCCAGGTTCCGCAGGTAGCAAGCAGCGTAGTACAGAGGGTCAGGCAGAGGGATGGTCAGGGTCACAAGCCAGGGATCAGAACAGGTAGCAAGCAGCGTAGTACAGAGGGTCAGGCAGAGGGATGGTCAGGAGCGAGCCGGGATCAGAGCAGGAGAAGTCAGCAGCGGTTCAGAAACAGGATGCAGGACAGAAACAGGATACAGGGCCCAGGACAAACACAAAACCAAGGCAGAGTCTGTGGGTCTGGCCATCCCTTAAATACCCCAGCATAATCAGTTCCAGGTGTTAGCTGGCTGCAAAGTTAAGTCTCTGATTGCTGGGAGCATCCGCTGGCCAGCCCTGGTACTGCAGATCAAAAGGCAGGTGAGTCCCACCATTGCTGGCCAGTCCATTCCTGACAGTACCCCCCTCAAGGAGCGGCCTCAGGACGCTCCAAACAGTCCTAGCTGGGAAAAATGTTCCACCGCCCGGGTCTGGTAACTGGCGGGATATCAAAGACTGGCACACCGGGCAGGACTCCGGGCAGCGGTACACCGGGCAGAGGCACATCGGGCTGGACACCGGGCAGAGGCACACCGGGCAGAGGCACATCGGGCTGAACTCCGGGCAGAGGCACACCGGGCTGGACTCCGGGCAGAGGCACACCGGGCTGGACTCCGGGCAGAGGCACACCGGGCTGGACTCCGGGCAGAGGCACACCGGGCTGGACTCCGGGCAGAGGCACACCGGGCTGGACTCCGGGCAGAGGCACATCGGGCTGGACTCCGCGCAGAGACACATCGGGCTGGACTCCGGGCAGAGGCACATCGGGCTACCAGGAGAAGCAGCAGGCAGCAGGCCCCCGGGCGGGGCGGCAGGCACCGGGCCCCCGGGCGGGGCGACGGGCACCGGGCCCCCGGGCGGGGCGACGGGCACCGGGCCCCCGGGCGGGGCGACGGGCACCGGGCCCCCGGGCGGGGTGACGGGCGCCGGACCCCCAGGCGGAACTACAGGTCTCGGACCCTCAGGCGGAGCGGCGGCGGGCGCCGGACCCCCAGATGGAGCGACAGGTCTCGGGCCCTCAGGCGGAGCGGCGGGCGCCGGACCCCCAGATGGAGCGACAGGTCTCGGGCCCTCAGGCGGAGAGGCAGGCGCCGGACCCCCAGATGGAGCGACAGGCCTCGGGCCCTCAGGCGGAGCGGCGGGCGCCGGACCCCCAGATGGAGCGACAGGTCTCGGGCCCTCAGGCGGAGCGGCGGGCGCCGGACCCCCAGATGGAGCAACAGGCCTCGGGCCCCCAGGCGGGGCGACAGGGCCTCGGGCCCCCAGGCGGGGCGACAAGCATCGGACCCCCAGGCGGGGCGACAGGCCTCGGGCCCCCAGGCGGGGCGACAGGCATCGGGCCCCCAGGCGGGGCGACAGGCCTCGGGCCCCCAGGCGGGGCGACAGGCATCGGGCCCCCAGGCGGGGCGACAGGCATCGGGCCCCCAGGCGGGGCGACAGGCCTCGGGCCCCCAGGCGGGGCGACAGGCCTCGGGCCCCCAGGCGGGGCGACAGGGCCTCGGGCCCCCAGGCGGGGCGACAGGGCCTCTCGGCCCCAGGCAGCGGGGCGGGGCGGCAGGGGCGCCGGACCCCCAGATGGACCCCCAGCGGACGACAGGTCTCGGGCCCTCAGGCGGAGCGGCGGGCGCCGGACCCCCAGATGGAGCGACAGGTCTCGGGCCCTCAGGGGCGGGCGCACGGACCCCCATGGAGCGACAGGTCTCGGGCCCTCAGGCGGAGCGGCGGGCGCCGGACACCCAGATGGAGCGACAGGTCTCGGGCCCTCAGGCGGAGCAACAGGTCTCGGGCCCCCAGGCGAAGCGGCGGGCACCGAGTCACCAGGCACGACAGTGGGCACCGAGTCGTCTGGCAAGACTGCTGGCACCGAGTCAACTGGCGGAACAGCGGGCATCGAGTCGTCTGGCAAGACTGCGGGCACCGAGTCGTCTGGCAAGACTGCGGGCACGGAGTCGTCTGGCAAGACTGCGGGCACCGAGTCGTCTGGCAAGACTGCGGGCACCAGGTCGTCTGGCAAGACTGCGGGCACCGAGTCGTCTGGCGGAACAGCGGGCATCGAGTCAACTGGCGGGACTGCGGGCACCGAGTCGTCTGGCAAGACAGTGGGCTCCGAGTCAACAGGCACGACAGCGGGCACTGGATCAGGTACCGGATCATCTGGATCAACAGCGGGCATCAAGTTGAATGCAGGCATCAGGCTGAGTAGAGGCTTCAGGCTGAGTAGAGGCTTCAGGCTGAGTAGAGGCATCCGGCTGAAGAGAGGCATCCGGCTGAAGAGAGGCATCCGGCTGAGTAGAGGCATCAGGCTGAGTAGAGGCATCAGGCTGAGTAGAGGCATCAGGCTGAGTAGAGGCTTCAGGCTGAGTAGAGGCTTCAGGCTGAGTCACGGAAGGCAGGTTCACCGTTTGGATACTGGCAGGATGGTATTGGTTGGAAAGAATTTTCGCTTTTTTCTGGTTTTAACTACTGGAGCACTGCAAGTAAACGCAGGTCTGCAAACGAATGGAGCAGCTGGAGACAGAGAAAAACTGGAGGATGGAACAGGAGAGGGAGCAGTTGCTACAGAGGGCTTTTTTACAGGGTTAAAGGCAGGATAGGTGCAGCGAGTGGGAACAGGGTACTGACATGCGGTAGATAGCCAAGTATACTGGGCTGTAACTGGAGGAGCTGGTGGGAATACAGGAGTAGAGTTAGAAGCAGGACTGGGTTTTTGTAAGCTGACTGAGGCTGGGTGCAACAAGTCTGTCCATGTCTGCAGTAGGGGTTGAACAAAGCTGAGCTTACACAAAGCCTGTCTGGTCAATGACTGCACTGCGTTTATACAATCTCTTAGTGTCTGTGGTGAACATGTGGAATAACGCTCCAGAAAGTAACCCACATCATCCTCTAATAACCACACCAGGGACTCTACCTGGTCTGCACTAAATGGTGGCAAAAATTCATCCCTGCATTCGGGGGAACCAGATGAAATCAACTCAGCACAAACCTCAATCAAAGGCTGCACCTCAGAGAACTCTGTGCCCTGATCTACTAGAACATGAGCGAGCCGTATACATTCTAGCAGTTCATCCCGGGGATACTCCTTCAGAGTTTGATAAGCATACTCTCTGTCATCAAACACTAGCAGATATAAATACACAACCTCATCCAGATCCATCCTTCCCATCAACAAACCAAGATGGCTTCCCTGTGCAGCCACTTCTGGTCAGGATTGGCCTTGGTGTAATGTCAGGGCTCCCAGGTGTGACCAGAGGTGTGTGGCTGACGCAGGGAAACACAGACCTCAGATATGTTATAAACAATATAATTTATTAACACTAACAATACAAACATAAACGCAGTGCAATACTAAAACATAATACAGTGCAACCAAACCAAACCAACCACCCACAGATAACAGTACATACAAGCAAGCGTCGTCAGGCAGGCCGGGTCAATATCAATAGGGCAGGTAGGTACAGGGGGAGCAAGCGGAGATTGGTCGGGTCACAGGCCAGGTTCCGCAGGTAGCAAGCAGCATAGTACAGAGGGTGAGGCAGAGGGATGGTCAGGGTCACAAGCCAGGGATCAGAACAGGTAGCAAGCAGCGTGGTACAGAGGGTCAGGCAGAGGGATGGTCAGGAGCGAGCCGGGATCAGAGCAGGAGAAGTCAGCAGCGGTTCAGAAACAGGATGCAGGACAGAAACAGGATACAGGGCCCAGGACAAACACAACACCAAGGCAGAGTCTGTGGGTCTGGCCATCCCTTAAATACCCCAGCATAATCAGTTCCAGGTGTTAGCTGGCTGCAAAGTTGAGTCTCTGATTGCTGGGAGCATCCGCTGGCCAGCCCTGGTACTGCAGATCAAAAGGCAGGTGAGTCCCACCATTGCTGGCCAGTCCATTCCTGACAGAGGGGTCCTGTGCAATAATGGAGGAAGAGGTCCTGTGTAATGATAGGGGTAGTATGGGGGAGGGGGTCCTGTGCAATGCTAGTGAAGGGGGTCCTGTGTAATAATACTATGGGGGAGGAAGGTCCTGTGTAATGAAGGGGTTGGTATGGGTGGTAGGTCCTGTGTAATTATGGGTGTAGTATGGGCGGGTCCTGTGTAATAATGGGGGTAGTATGGGGGGGAGAGGTCTGGTGTAATGATGGGGGTAGTATGAGGGAGGGGTCCTGTGTGATAATGGAGGAGGGGGGTCCTGTGTAATGATGGAATTAATATGGAAGAGGGGGTCCTGTGTAATGCTAGTGAAGGGGGTCCTGTGTAATGATGGGGTAGTATGGGGGGAGGGGGTCCTGTGTAACGCTAGAGAAGTTGGTCCTGTGTAATAATAGGAGTACTATGGGGGAGGGAGGTCCTGTGTAATGAAGGGGTTGGTATGGGGTGGGAGGTCCTGTGTAATTATGGGTGTAGTATGGGCGGGTCCTGTGTAATAATGGGGGTAGTATGGGGGGAGAGGTCCTGTGTAATGATGGGGGTAGTATGGGGGAGGGGGTCCTGTGTAATGTGAGAGCAAAATTGCATGGCGTGGGTCCCAAGATAATGTTTGCCCTGGGTCCAATCAATATTAAAGATGGCCTTGCCAGTACCTGACCCCTGGCTTGTTACTTTATTCCATATCTTGCTTCTGCTCATTTTGAACTGACCTTGACCTGGCTCCTGTTTTTTGCTCTTTGTCTCCTGAATCTGCACCTTCACTGCCCGACTGTTGCTGAAACCTGCTCACCTAACCATGTTCTTGTCACTGGTTTTCACAAGTTCTTGGAGGATATCTGGCACATCTGGCACACACGTTTCCTGCTGTTTAGCTTCTGCCTTACTGCAAGATCCAACTCTTCTTTTGGCCAGAACTTTCTACCGGCACCCATGCCACTCCATGCACCCTTGCCACTCTGTGTCCTATCTACCACTGTCATCACTCTCTGTGGAAAAAACAGGACAGGAGGTCATCAGTTCGACCTCTACCAGGTACGAGACAAAAGACTAGTATGGGTAAAGTATGGTTGCTTCACTTTAAGACTCCAGGCACACTTGGAATTTCCGGCAAACACACATTCTCTTTGTACGGCAAACGCACTAAAAAACAAGCCATGCTCTTCTCCAAAAAAAGTTTTGGAGCTTCATTGGGGAGCATAGGGAAGCCCATTCAAGTCAATAGGCTGCCCAATGCGCAACGAGCGGAAAACACTCCAAAAAATGGGAACTCCTGCTTCGCCCAGGTGTAAACCCAGCCTAAAAGCAAGAATCACTCCAAGACAGCAACCGGGACCTTGTGGTGATTTACTTGCATAGCGGCCTGTACAACAATGTAGTGTGGCAGCTGGCAGTGTATGCTGGGATTGTAGCTGGAGGGATGCCTTAAGGCTGAGCTATGACTGCAGAGCGGAGCACCTTTGTTCCCACATGAAACATGAACATAAAGGAGCATTCACCTGGGTTACCATAGTGAGAGCTGGCTGCTCGAGCTATTGTCGATTGTATGGTGTCTTCAGACTGACAGCTCCATCATTCTTGCTCGCTGTGGGGAGGACGATTGATAGAGCAACCATCTGTGTATTGAGGACAATGAAAGATAACCCAGCAACTCCAGGAAACACACTGCAACTACTAAAAGGAGCAATCCACCTGGCAAGCTGGGAAAACCAAGATTTTTTTTGGCACTTTTTGTTAACATGTAACAATCAGTTGTTTTTTCTAGAAAATTTCTTAGAACCCCCCAAACATTTATCTTTTAAATCAGAGGCCCTAGAGAATAAATTGGTGGGTGTTGCAATTTTTTATGTCACATGGCAGCGTTTTTTCAAATGCATTTTTTTTTAGAAAAAATACACCTTTTTATTTTAATGCAAAAAAAACCCCAAAACACAATAAATAACCCAATTTTTAGTAAAATAGAAAAGATGATGTTACACTGAGTGAATAGATACGACACTTTAAAATTGCGTACGCCTATGCAACAGCAACAAATTACGTAAATGTTACTATCCATAGACGACACTTTAAAAGCCTTTACAAGTTACCACTTTAGATTTACAGAGGAGGTCTAGTGCTAGAATTACTGCCCATGATCTGACATGTAACATGTAACAATCAGTTGTTTTTTTTTTTTGCTAGAAAATTTCTTAGAAACCCCAAACATACATCTTTTAAAGCAGAGGCCCTAGAGAATAAATTGGTAGATGTTGTAATTTCTTATGTCACATGGCAGCGGTTTTTCAAGTGCCATTTTTTTAGAAAAAATACACTTTTTTATTTTACTGCAAAAAAAAAAAAACCACAATACATAGCCCAATTTTTAGTAAAATAGAAAAGATGATGTTACACTGAGTAAATAGATACCACGCTTTAAAATTGCACACGCCTATGCAACAGCGACAAATGATGTAAATTTTACTATCCATAGATGACGTTTTAAAAGCCTTTACAGATTACCACTTTAGATTCACAGAGGAGGTCTGGTGCTGGAATTACTGCCCTTGATCTGACATTGGCGGCGATATCTCACATGTGTGAGACGATTGCTGTATGCATGTATGCGTGGGGGACAGATGCGTGTGTTCACCTTTGCACGCGAGCACGAGAGAACAAGGGCACTTTAAATTATTTTTTAATTATTTATTTTTTATTATTATTATTATTTTTACACTCTTACGTTAATTTTTTTTTTCTATCACTTTTCTGACACGCAGAGAAGAAGTTCCTGCACTTCTGAAACCGCAGCCCGCACGGGAAACTTGGTTCCCAGTACAGTTGCGTTTTCCAGTTCGGGCGGCGTGCCATTAGAACTAATGGAACCCGCCTGCGGGTCCACATTTCCCTGTGTGGGTGGTGCGGCTGCACGGATTTTAGTGCGGATCCGCACCACACGCACAGATGTGACCCTAGCCTAAAGTTTTTTTTGGGCCTAACACTCAAACATGGGCATTACTAATAAAAATGAATTATGGTTGTATTGGTCCACAGACCCGATTCATCATATGCCCGTGTTCTCTGCTGCCATGGCCAGGCATAGATATGAGAGTATAATGTGTTTTATGCATTTCAACGACAACACACTTTGTCATCCTCGGGGTGACCCTGAATTTGACCGGCTCCACAAAATTCAGCCCCTCATGTTTTTGGAAAATGAAGAAAGAAAACAAAAAACATCTTTTTTCTTTTCTTTTTTTATATTTCAAAACCTTGTGAGAAAAAAATTAGATCTGCAAAATACTCACCATGCCTCTTTTTAAATGGTTTGGGGTGTCTACTTTCCAAAAAGGGTCATTTGGGGGTGTTTCGTGCTATCCTGGCATTTCAGGGCCTTGAAAAATGTGATAGGTAGTGAAGAAGTGAAATGAGGAAGTTATGCACCTTCAGGCTTTCAAAGTGGTCATTAGATTTCAGGCTCCTGTATGTGGCTAGGATCCCAAAAAGTCTCACACATGTGGTACCCCC